TATAACTGTTTTAGGCCTGTGGTCCCCATTTCCTTAGCTGTCCAGGCCTGGGTCCTGCAAACATTTCCGTGCGTAGTCCCACTGAAGTCAGTGGAACTGCTCATGTGCCACATGCTAGCTTGAGTAATGATGGTCTAAAGTATTAAGCAAGAGGTTTGGTGTTTGAGTTCCAGTCCTAGTATGTTAACATTGCCAGAGCTATGTAGTGTCAGGCAAGTTCCTTAGTCTTTGTGTCCTAGCTTCACCCTGTGTAAAGTGAGAGTAGTGAATGCTGTTTTCCTCAAATTGTGTCCAAGGATTAATAGATGAAGGCTGTTTGTTTATGATGGCTTTGTTCCTTAGGTTGAAAAAAATTAAGACAAGTCTGGGCTTAATATTGCTTCAAACTTCCCCCCAAATGACCATTTGTCTGATCAGAAACTTGCTGTGTAAAACATCTTGTTTACAGTAGGTTTGTCTTGCAACTGAAGAATATCCTGTTGGTAGGCTCCCACAGAGTGAACAGAAAAAATGCAGTGATAAGTATGTAGAAACAAAAGTTTAAACCCCTAAGATACTTAGCCTAGTTAAACTGAAATCAGCATTGCTGTTTCCTGGCAAGTTTTGGATTTGTCATTTATTTTTTCTTTTCCAAAAGTGCTGTTTAGGATCATTATAGAAACAAACCCTCCAATCCACTTAACTGGAGCTAAATTAACTGCTCTCTAAGGGTATATCTACACTGCGCCAAAAAAAAAAAGGCAAAAGGGAATCTGAGCCCGAATCTACAGACTCAGGCTCCTGCTACAGCACTTAAAAATAGTAGTGTAGATGTTCCCCCCTCAACCTCTGGAACCCTGCAAGGGGGGTGGGTCTCAACCAGAGTGGGAACATCAACTGCACTGCTATTTTTAGCACCATAGCATGAGCCCAAGTGTGTTTCCAAAGCCACACTAAGGCTCAGGCAGGGAAAAGGGTCCAGCAGTGCCGGGTCAGGAAAGCTCTGCCCCTCACGTACTGCCAAGCATACTCCTGGGGAAAAGAATATAAAGAGTTCTAGCAGCCCGGGCTGGGGGTAGGAGAGAAGCCATTTCCTGGAGAAGCACTGCCCTGAGACAGGAGGAGAAGCTCTTACCAAGGAAGTCTGGCTGTGAGTGTTCCATTTCCCCCCTCCCCCCCCC